ATGGGGTGGCGTTTCTTAAAGGGGCCCTGCAATCATATTTAAGCGTCCACCTATTGTGCGGTTTCCACGTCTCTTGGGGTTCGGGCAAGCCAGCGGGCACGGAGAGAGTAACTAAATATCAGTGCGTCATATTTTAACCGGACGACGCGGAAACCTCCTCCACCGACGAGGGCGACCCGCGGTACCGAAAGCGCACAAAATGTGACGTCTTTGGTCCTGGGCTTACTACTGGTCAGAGCCGCTCAAAGCTTCTTTTTAGTCGAAATACAAAATATAAGTGGCGCGAACCGTTTCAATTTTTTATAAAAGTAGTTTTTGTTCAGTATTTTAGATCGAAAAAGAAACGAATGCAGTTCATAAAGTACGGAAACAAGAAGTGACCCGCCGATGTACCCGCCACCAAGCGGTGGAAAAAGCGGCGCATACTAGAAAGGAATATTGGGATCAGGCGCAGACACGGAAAGGTCCCGGATGTACGCTGCGGCGCTGCGGTCGTATACCGGCTCGAGGATCCGACCGGTTGCAAGCGTTCCCAAGGCTCTCGGCGCGGGCTTGGCTGGCGATTTAGCCCTTTGGCGGTATGGCAGCGCGAAGTGCCTCCCGTTCTGAACTGATCTTTACCCCGTGTTTGCTGTCGTTTGTGGCCAATGAAGTGTTATGCCGAATTAGTATTTAATCGGGCAGCAAATGCAATGAGAGCCGCTCTGGCTGCCCGCTGCATACAGACTATCTAGATCACGCTTCAATGGTGCCCTCTCGCGCCGTCGACACGGAGTGCGGCAGCCATGAGCCCTCGATGAGCTCACTACTTCTCCTCTAGTTCACGGCAGACATGTACAAATTACTCAAAAAAGGTAGTTAAGTTAAGTTACTGAGTATCGACGCCAAAAGTAGTTGAAGTAGAGTAGAAATTACGCATTCGTAATAGTAATTGAGTAAACTACTAACTGCTGTAAAAAAGTAGCGAATTACTTTGAAGTTACTTTTGAAGTTACTTTTTATGTTTTTGTGGCAGCAAAATGAACAGAAGTTTTGATCAGTGAAAAACCCTGCGAGCCGGAAATAAATGCAGTCATTTTATGACTTCCAAAATAGTTTATTCGCTCGCCGAAGCAATTGTCTGCCAAAGTTGTTATCGGAGAGTTTTCCTCTTTTCCTTCTAATAACGTCCTCGGTCAAGCTAAAAAGACGTTCCACCGTGGCGCTGGATGCCAAGACAGCGTTCAATTTCAGAAGCAGGCTGTGCAGGGTCGGGTAAGCGAGTGTCGGCATCTTAGGTGTCCATGACGAAACATGCGAGGCTTGCCTCGGCCTTTAGAGGGTCTTTTATAACAAACACTCCTCTTTCTTTTCTTTTTTTCTTCGGAAAGTTGAGATTGTTATGACTGGCCCCTCTTTATTCTCACGACGCTCGGAGATTTCACCGAGCGAGTGCACCTGTCCGTCAAGGGATCAAGTCTCGCGCCACGACGATGAGATCATTCGGACGACTGCGCGTCTCGTTGCAACGTTATAGCAACGCCACTTAAAAAAAAAAAAATGTTTTTTTGCCGTTGAAGTTGGGTCCAACAAAAAGATCTCCCAAGGGTGACTCGAAATCCTCGCCGGCGACTACGGTATCCTGACGCGCCTGACAAGTAAAACGTTTTCAACAAAGAGGAGGTCTCCCTGGCGTGGAAGGTCGGAAGGACGCGAAGGATTACGTGAACAAGCATCGGCGCTCGTACAGTTGCAGCTGGAAGCGGGAACGTGCTCCCATGAACGGATTATCAGTGTCTGCGTTTAGGCGCGGGGGAGTCCGCTTTGCAAGGGAGTATGCGCTGACGACGAGGCGACCATGAGAACAGGCGCCCAGTTGCGAGGTCATCCCAGTGGCGCTACCGTGGAACATACCACTTAAGTCAGAACTCACTAAAGGCGCACCATGAAAACAGCAACAACCCTCGGAGTGTCCCCGTCTTTCACGTTTGCAGCTGGAAACGCGGCGCTTGCGTGCATTACCGGATCAGGTCAACACCCGACCAATGCTTTTCAAGCATCTCTGCCTGCGTTCGTGCGCGCCGGTGTTATGTTTTGGCTGCTCGTCGTAGCCAACTTGGCCCAAGGACGCCTGTGATGCAGTTTCTGTGGCTGCCGAGTGTAAGCGCGTGGGAACTGAATGTGAGGGGGCCCCTTGTTCGTGAATGCCGCTTCATCTGCCAGCGTCTTATTTATTTGTGCACTCAAACTTTTGTGATGAAAAAAAAAAAATAGGATTAAATTTCGAAAGTAGTTAGTAGTTTGAGTAGAAGTTACCCGAAAAACGTAGTTAAATTAAACTACTAATTACCCAAATAGAGTTGTAATTGAAAGTTACCAAGTTACTCGGAAAAGTAGTTAAACTACAGTAGTTTGAGTAGAGTAGTTGAACTACGTCCAAGTCTGGAACTTCACGGCCACTCTCAAGCAACCAAGGACGTCATGAGGGAGGTTATTTTTTGTTTGTCTTTGTAATTTTAATTTGCCTATAACTTAAAATAAAGGGAATTTCGAGAAAAGAAAAGTTTCACTAAGTTACTACGTTCAGTGCGCTCAGGTTCGGTGCAAATTAAAAATTAGTAAAAAAAAAGTCATTGCAGGGCCCCTTTAAAGGGGTCAGGAAACGGTTTTCCAACTTTTTCCTGTTTAGCTTTCCTTCTCAACTCATAAATCGCGCATTCCACCAAACAGTCAAAGAAGACGAAAAGGGGGAGTCCCCTCTTGCTCGCACTCTCGTTTGTATAATCCGGACGCATCCATTCTCCCCCTAGAAGATTAGCCCGTCGCTCAAAATTCAGACAAAAGTTGCTTTCCCCACCCCGTTCATTCCGAAGCTGACAGTGCTGTGGAAGCTACGTGCTCGTTGGGCCTAGGGTGCCCACATGTTTCCGCCGCTAGTTGGGCCAGCCACACTTGCCACTTGAGCGTGGCAAATGTGGCTGCAGAGAATGAAGTCAGGTGATGAAAGGGAGGCGGCTGATTGGTCCGGCAAGCGCGTAGCATCCACTACAATGTCAGCTTAGGGCTGAAAGGAATAAGTGAGGTCCGGTTGCGTGTGACGTCCGTTTGGACCCGATGACACGCTTTTGGGACCGCGGATGTATCACAGTGAAAAGGCAGAGAGGTTGCGAAGGGGAGGAGGTACAAAATAGTCCGCTCTGTTTTCAAATTTTCGCACTGAAAGTCAGGCTTTTGACTTTCTACTTTTTTTCTTTTGGTCCACTGAACGATGTGCTATTAGTAAAATCCCAATGTAAAATGATTTATCCCAACCCAAAAATCGTTTCATGGGCCCTTTAATACTATGATGCGCGCCAGCCAATGGGAGCCTCGTTTCTTGGAACTATGACGCGCGCCAGCCAATGGGAGCCTATCCATCACATCGCTGCTACAGACGACAGGCTTCGCTGCGTTGGGACAGGGAAGCTTAGGTACCGCTTGGCGTGACTTCAAAAGCTGATAACGTCGGTTCGCTCCATGGGACAGATAATGCTTTCGCAATAAAAGAGGGAAACCCTGAAAATACAATACATTGAAACATACGAAGCTTGCATTTAATTAAAAAAATATCGATAGGCTCAATGAGGGTTGGAAATATTTAGATTCTAAAGGACCACGAAGAAATTATAATTAGAAAAGGGAAAATACATTCAGCTATACTGAAACTCAAGGCACTACGGTGTTATAATAGATACGAAGTGCATGGTCAGGGGTATATGAAAAGGAGTGATGTTGCCAGGACTGTCTTTTGTCAGTGGGAATGGGGTACTGCGCGTGAGGTCAGAGGTTCAATCAGGATTGAAAATTCGACAAAGAAACGTGGCCAGATTATCACTGGGAGCTCATGGGAACACACCAAATGAGGGAGTTAATGAGGTTATGGGCTCTCGCCCTTGGAGAACAGAGAGGCAGTTAGTAAATCCAAATTTGAATGAAGGTGAACTGAAATGGATTATACCCGGTGGGCTTGAAAGTATTCAAGTATCTATACATGAAAAGGCTGAGCACCACGTAGACAAACCGAACCCCAAAGCTGACGTTTATTGATACTCTCATGGCGCTGTATATATGTACAACTGATGTTCCTGCTGCAGGAGGTACAACAGCACAGCAGCTGCACTTCGTGGCAACACCAATATGCAATTGATCGGTGTCACGCAACATAAATGTTCTGCTAAATTCACCGGGGAAGCTGAATTGATGTATAAGTCACGTGACATCAATTTCCCCGATAAATCTAGCAGGAAAACTGAATTTGTGTTTAGGTCACGTGACATTAAGTCATGTGACAATTTTCCGTCCCATGATTTCAATATTCCGGCTAAATCATGCGGAGAAACTCGATTTGTGTATAGTCACATGACACGAAGTCATGTGACGTCATTTTTCCCGCTATAGCGGGGAAACTGAATTGGTGTTGAGGTCACAGGTCGCGGCTTCACAAAATCAGGCTTCGTTAAATCCAAAACAACGAGCCAAAAAAAAAAAAAAAATTAAAGAACGTGTTTACGTTTCAAGAATCATACTTTTGTGTTTTGAAGCCAGGTGACGCAAGTTACCACCCCTTCTATAGGGTAGAGCCGTTAACATTTAGCCATCCGTTCATTAATTCAGCGCGTTTCTTCTGAGCGCCACCAGATGGCACTAGTCGTCTACTCATCGCCGCGGCGCACATCAGAAGAGCGACCCAAGCAAGCGGCCAATTTTTGCCATGCCAGTCCACGCAAAGCCGGTATGGCTGCAAGGAAAAATCCAAAACAACGAGCCAAAAAAAAAAAAAAATTAAAGAACGTTTTTACGTTTAAAGAATCATACTTTTGTGTTTTGAGGCCAGGTGACGCAAGTTACCGCCCCTTATATAGGGTAGAGCCGTTAACATTTAGCCATCCGTTCCTTCATCCAGCGCATTTCTTCTGAACGCCACCAGATGGCACTAGTCGTCTACTCATCGCCGCGGCGCACGTCGGAAGAGCAACCCAAGCAAGCGGCCAATTTTTGCCATGCCAGTCCACGCAAAGCCGCTATGGCTGCAGGGTCAGCTGCGAAGTTAACTGCGTTCGCGGAGAAGCTCGTGGATTGTACCAAGTGTCTACGCCTGCCAAGACTCAGTACCCAGAACGTCAGGTGGCAGCATGCATCGTGGTTTGCTATCCGACAGGTAGGCACACCTTGCGAGACGCCTTTGCGCCTTCTTTTTCGCACATGTACCGACACGGCTAGGCCTAGTGGCCGATGTCGTCTGCTCTTGGGGTTTCACCTTCGGAGCTCCCTATCCACTGCGTTCACGGACGGATGTGTGATTTTCGGCCCGGTGCGTGCCAATCCTAAGGGTCGGTCACCCGATCAGTTCACCTCTGTCCTGGTACCTGTATAGCCGTGCGCGGGCACTTCCTATACAGCTTACAAATTGGATCAAACGAAGACGTTGTCCTCGGCCCATTTAACGGGGTACACTCCGCAATCGTAGCCCGCTTTGGCGTCTAAATAACCGCCTTGCACGTTTAACGTAGATCAGTACAACGTTCACGGTGAAGGATTTCCGCGTAGGCAATGTTTTGCCGTCAAAAGTCAGCACCAGAGGTTGCTAGGGCGACTCAACGGTCCCTTGCCCCGTGAACTTGAACTTGCTCTCAGTTCGGTCGCGACGCGCGTTGCTTTCGGTCTAAACGAGAACGTGAGAAATGTGAGCGAAGTGCGAATTGGTCCGTGCCCGGCTTAGTTTTCCTAAATTGTGCTCGGCCAGTCAGTCCAGACTGCCGAGAAAAACGGGCCGGGCCCTAACAGTACTTGCAGCACGCTTGCCGGATCTTACGATCCCTGGCCGTCAGCTAAGGTCACCTGCCGCTCGGAGAAGCTGTCGAGTGCTTCCCAGCAATCAGGTCACCGTGCAGGAAGACGAGAATCTCGGGCTCGTTTCGAGAAACGTGTCATTTGCACCCCCCCCCCCCCCCCCCCTGCTTTTTTTGGGGTTTGTATACTACCTAGAGATGTTGGGGGTTGTAGGTATAGCAGCGGTTTCCCTTAGGCCGTCCGCCGGTTAATGGGACACCCCTACCGGGCAAAGCTGCCCTGTGTCGAGGAGCGCTACAGTGACATCGCGGCCACTGCAAAACAGCTGGGTGTACGACCCGTGGAGAAACTGTTGGTTTCGGCGGTTCGATAGCAGTCAACCTACTTCGGGTGGATTCCTTCTCTTTCCTACGTTTCGCGAACTGACCCTGTCGACTACTAGGCCCTGTTTTAACCAGCTGCCGCAAGCGGGATCGCAATGTGGAGAACCGATGATTATGTGTCCGTATCTGCAAGATTTTTCTTTCGCGGGGTCGTCTTGGACACCATCGCCGCACGGCCAGGACGCGCGCATAGCCCGTCGGCAGACCGCGACGCAGCGCTGGACGAACGGAAGCCTGGTTCGGCGCCCAAGCATGAACAGGATCTGTGCACCGCTCTGGGCCGCGCATCTCGGAATTCAGCTCGCCGCTTCTCCTGGGGCAACTCTCGAAAATGTGGACCCGTTTGCCGTGCCGTGAGGAGAGCCGCGGTCACGCTGCTGCTAATACGTCGTACAAATTAAGAAACTGTCTGCGGACAATGTCTGAGTCTCTTCCTTGAATGACGGTCATGCAAAAACTGTCTTTTAGACATGTTCGGAGCGTACATATGTATGAAGCAAACATGCTGCGAGCATACTTGATGCACGTCCACATATAATTCTGTAAGGTCTGCAGCGAACAATGTGTACCGCATATCGACAGTGATACATTATAATTATATACCGTACAGTTCTGCTTGGTAATTTCCAGTCGACTGTCAACTTTTGAAACGTCAATTCAGGTCCGCACGGTGTGTTTCAGATACGTTTAGGCTAGAAACGGGCTCAATTCAGAAACGAGTCAAATGATACCTTGCACGACAGAGCTTCTCTACCCGATATTTCGGCACTGTTTTAGTGATGAGCAAATATCGTACGGAGCGTCCAGGGACCAGAGAGCAGAGTTTTAAGCTGTAGCCTGGCCTCGTGCTGTTTTGGCGCCATCTTTCACCATCACCTTTCGACCTCACGAAGCGCATTTAAACTCGCAATTTGCCTTTGAGGCTTCTTTGGACAGTTTGTAGTGAGGGCCGGACTCCAAATGTGAACCGCGTCAGGTGTCCGGGAGGATTGGAGGCCGATAATGGCGTTTTGTCCTCTGCCTGTCACTCGGGCCCACTGAGGGGGGAAATAACAGGCTCTTCACCCTCCCTGAGTTTAAGCTTGACGGCTTGAAAATCCTCTTGACTGTTTGACAATCCTGCAGAATCCCCCGCACTTTGCCAAAGCCCCGTGGCCTTCGCATCCTTTTCAACGATACACTCCTTAAACCGCCCTCATCACAAAGAGCGAAAGAAGTGGAGGTGTCAAAGCATTAGGTGTGGATATGTTGAAAGACTACTAACACGCTGTCCTCTGGCGAATGCTTACTCCATGCAGCACAGCAGCAGGGATGGCGGATTCTGCCTGTGGCGACGCACTCGAACGCAAATGTGTGAACGAGTCTTCACAGGCGCCCGTATCACTAGTTCGTAATCGTAACCAATCCCCAAAGTTGGGGTCTAAATTTCGTGAACTCGGTTCACTTCCCTTCGAGCGCCGCACGCATCGATTCAGCGTGGAAGTCAATCTCTGCGCGCATCTGCTCAATATAGCAGCGCAGCTTCGTCAAAACTGTACGCTTTATGGCTAGCGGAATGTTATGACCATAAAACCATAAAAGCTCAATCGAAACAGAATTTTTTTTTTTTTTTTTTTTTTTTTTTTTTTTTGCAACGCATTAAACAACGACGAGCAAAGTGAACGAGTTGTAACGAACAGCCCTTTAGTTGTTTCTTGCGTGAAAAGTACGTTTCTGGTGACTTTTAATAATTCCGAACCGAAAGAGGATGAGCCTCCAGTTGTTGCGACCAGGGAAACCTTGAGAATGTGATCTAAATACTCTTCAGTGTCTAAATTCCAAACGATAATTCCAACCCCCCCCCCCCCCCCCCCAAACAAAAGAAGAAAAAAAAAGGAAAAAAAAAAAGGGGGGAGGGCAAAAAGAAGGAAAGACTTGTACGATGATCATTAGTCCCGATTAAAGCGGATTTGACATGTTTGAAAGACCAACCGACAATTAGAGAAAATTAAAAAAAAAAAAAGGCATTAACTTTCTTTTCTTTTTTTTTTTATGAATTCCGTTTGGGTGTTTTTTGCGCAGAAATTGCAAGCCAGCCAACGAGGCCAAAATAATACCTTATTAATATGAATATTTCGATGTTATCTCCAATAAATATCCATATTTTTAACCGTTTTTCCCATTCACCAATGTTCGTGCTTTTTCTTTTTTTACCCACACATGTGTTCTAGTTTTTATTCACTGCCCGCGAGTGACTGGTATTATATTAAAATTACCTATCACTCTTCTTATTACCCTTTTTGGGTCGTTTGGCGTTCAGTTTTATATTTGTGCATAATTTGGGAATCGTTTAAGGGGACACACCCCCTAGGAGGGTCAACCCTGAACCCTTAGCTTGAAATTGATGAAACTTACAGGCTAGGCTGCTGGTCATGCTAGAGGATGCATAACAAAATTTCAGGTCTGTCGGTTAAATGGGAAGGAAATTAGAGCAGCTTCTATCAGCAACATGCCTACATTGTTTAGTTAAGCGCGAGACACATGGACGGCAGAATCGTCCGAACGCCGCTCCGAATCGCCGTACGCAACAGTTTGAGACACACGCTTCCGAACTTGCATTCGACACGACGATATGTTCGGCTCCGCCCAGGAGATCCAAGCACTTCAGCGGAGGTCCGCATTCATAGATCTCTGGTCCCAGATTGACGGTTTAGCTCGCATGAGCGTCATTGGCTGGACGCAGGGATGGGCAGTATTTCAAATACAAGTATTTGAAATGCGTATTTTAAATATTTTGTGTATTTTGCATTTGTATTTAATTACAAATTGGGCAATGTATTTGACGTGTGTATTTAAATACTAAAACATGGGTATTTCAAATACAATTGTAATTAAATACAATTTTGTGGGCGAAAATACATCTTGTTTTTATGGATGTGGTTGTAAGATATAGTCTCCATCCTTTATTCGGCCATGGGGCTTTTTTCCTTTTCTCTTCCGGCTTTATTTTAAAGGCACTGTCCAGAGCAGGAAGAAAACTACGTTCTGCACCGAATGCAGTGTCTTTCAATCAAGCACAAGCTTTTAGGGACTTTGTGATTACGGTGCTAGTCCAGGGCAAGAATAGCGACGAAACCGACGTTCACAGGCAGACTGGCTAAATAAGTGCCTGTGACTACTTGTGATGCTTTCCAGCCAGATTTCCATCCACATTTTTGCCTGGAACATTCTAAATGCGCGGGTCGTCCAGATTTTCGTAACTGGTGCGAGTTGCAACGATAAAAAAATTATCTAGCTAGTGCTGCGCGTTTTGGTCGTCTCGGTTCTTTGTTGGACTATACCAAAATGTAATCGACAAAAAAAGCTGCTTGAAGCTCTGCACTTTTTTCACCTATTACGTCCAAGCTGATTACATTTTTTTTTATTATATTTCTATTACGTTACTAGAGCCCGGCACACTAACTCCCGAGTGTGCAATGCAAAATTAAAATGAGATACATAGAAACCCGTTGCAGGTGCCCTGAAGTCGCTGACGCAAATTTTGAGGAATGTATTTGGAAAAGTATTTGGAAGAAACCAAATACATTTGGTTGTATTTGTTTCTTGTACTTAAATGCTTTTTTTGGAAATGTAATTAGATTTGTAATTAAATACATTTTTGACGAAGTATTTTGTATTTGTATTTCGATACATATTTGCATGTATTTTGCCCATCCCTGGCTGGACGCATCCGGCAATTCGTCCGCCGTGCGAAACTATCTGGCGCGTTGGACGCACGTCGGATCGCCGATCCGACGTCTGACGATTATATTTTTCAGATCAGGCAGTCGTATTGCCGAATCGGACGTCGGATCAGATGGATTTTCGCGCGTGTGTCTCGCGCTTTAATCTATCGTCGGAAAACTATCACAATATTCAAGATTTTTATTTGCTAGATATGTAGCAGAATGCCTAGAGGGTGCGGTATGGAAAGTGTGTTGTAAAAAGTCTTTTATTTCTATAAAGT